TGGAAATATGTTAGAAATGTAGCTGCACGGGGTCCACCGAAACCAGAAAACTTTTGAAAAGCGTCCACGAGAAAAAAAAGTTTTGGGACACCTGGTTTAAAACGATAGGCTGCTTTTTACAAGCCACTGTACATTTCTAACTGCCATACCTAAACAAAAGCGTCAGCGTTGCCTGGCTGTCAAAAAATTTTCATGCCCAAACAATTTGTAAGAAGCATACCGAAACAACGCGGCGTCAACGCTGAACAGTTGGAAAATCCGAGTTTGACAGTGCGTTGGGTGGTGACGTTGGCTGAAGAAAACGGCAAAACTGTCATTTTCGTGTTTCACACAAACAAACTTACGCTTATTGTTGGTGTTATTTCTGCATTTGACGTAGCGGTGACGCTTCTGTTTAGGTATGGCATGCCATTGTACTTCGGCGTCAACGCTAGGCGTCAGAAAACGCTCCACCCAACGCGTTTGTTTAGGTATGGCAGTAACGAAAACCTTTATTCTATTTAAAAAGTGTCAAGCATAGCCCTGCGGAAGTTTTTACGGAGCCATTTTTCAAATCAAAACGCGACTTAAGGCTCGATGATAGATGTAAAGTTTCAATGTTCATCTTATATGAATCACTCCAATTCACAGTTATAAAGTACCGTTCAATTTATATTTTCAAAAATGTTCATCGAAAATGAGCGACCATTCCTCAATTTGAAGATTCATCCATACTATATTCACAGTGTAAATTCCGCTATAAGCATAGTATCCAGCTCTCAAGAAAACGGTTATGATATTTCACAGCCTCTTTCGTCACGAAATTATGGAACGGGCATATGTATGTATATTTATTTCCGTTGCAAACATGTGTTGCCGTGTGCTATTTTTGGACAAAAAAAACTTCAGAAAACCGTAGTAGAAAGCGTAGCAAATTTCTTAAGAACTACGTACTGCCTTAAGGAAATTTGACACAAGAAAAATTATTCGTCATTTCTTAAGCATTTCCGAAATTTCCTACCAAAACCTATCAATACATCTTTTGAGTTCCTCCTATAGCTCGTTGCTGTAGTAATTCTCTACCAAGCCAATGAGTAGTAGAGAATGACGTATACATATTCACTACCAATAGAGAAATAATCGGTAGAGAAGAGTTACCGAAACGAGCTACTGGGATGAGTTATGAATAGGGAGGACAAAAATATGCACAAAAAACTTATTTATATGATCATTTAAAAGACTCCAAAATATTAGAAATATGCTTGATATATGCACCAAAAATGTACATACAGGGTGTCCCAGAAGTAACGTGCCAAACTTTAGGCGAAGGTAGGTGTGGGGGTGAGCTCCCTGATAAACAAAAAATTTTCGGGTAAAAGTGTCACCGTTTTTGAAATATTTAAATTTTTTCGAATTTAAAAAAAA